CCACTCACCTCCCAGTAAGTGCCATCCCTGACCTTCCCCCATCACCCTCCTGGCTCTGTTACAACACATGCACAGCCACTCCTCCAGGCTCCCTCATGCACACAGACAGGCAGGCTGTCTGAGTGGGGAAATGTGCCAGGCACCTTGTTAGGGAAGGAGCCTTCCATCTCTCGTAGGCAGCTGTCAATCTTCTTCCGGCCCTCCTCGTCCACCGCTGCGCACACAGACCAGATCATGCTGAAGATGAAATACATTTCCACCACTGTGATATAGTTCTCACTGTCTGCTGGGTTCACCTGGAGAACAAGAGACAAGAACCCAGGGCTGAGCAGGCATTCAAGCCCTACTGCAAGCTACCAGAACAGTTCCCATAAACAAGCACTGACATACTCAGAGGGTTACTCACTTTATGTAGTAACTGAGGGTATGTCTACACTACCCCGCTAGTTCGAACTAGCGGGGTAGTGTAGACATACCCTCAGTTACTACATAAAGTGAGTAACCCTCTGAGTATGTCAGTGCTTGTTTATGGGAACTGTTCTGGTAGCTTGCAGTAGGGCTTGAATGCCTGCTCAGCCCTGGGTTCTTGTCTCTTGTTCTCCAGGTGAACCCAGCAGACAGTGAGAACTATATCACAGTGGTGGAAATGTATTTCATCTTCAGCATGATCTGGTCTGTGTGCGCAGCGGTGGACGAGGAGGGCCGGAAGAAGATTGACAGCTGCCTACGAGAGATGGAAGGCTCCTTCCCTAACAAGGTGCCTGGCACATTTCCCCACTCAGACAGCCTGCCTGTCTGTGTGCATGAGGGCGGGGATTTAAAAATGGCGGCTCCCCGCTTATGCTAATGAAGCCCAGGAAATTCAAATCCCGGGCTTCATTAGCAAGTGCGGTATGCATACATTACTCTCCTAGTTCGAACTAGGAGGGTAGTGTAGACATACCCTGAGGTTCTTCAAGATGGTTGTCCATGTGGGTGCTCTAACTTAGGTTTCTGGGGCGCCGTCGCATCTCTAGTCGGAGAATTTAGGTAGTAGTGTCTTCGGTAGGCTGCAAATGTGGGGCAGCCTTCACGCATTGGTGCAGCTACTCCACATGCACAATCAACCATCCCTTTGGTTCCTTCTCTGCCCCAGAAATAGGTGGTTCCAAAGTAGAGGGGAGGAAAGGTGGGTGGTGGAGCACCCAACAGGGACAGCCCTCTTGAAGAACATCAGTTACTGCACAAGGTGAGTAACCCTCTCTGAGGAGTGTCCCTGTAGGAGCTCCACCTTAGGTGACTATGAAGCAGTATTCGTGCCCAGAGGAGGGAGCTTTGGTTGATCACTATTATGCATGGCAGCTAGTATTGTCTGGCCAAAGTGAGTGTCCTATGACAAGTAAGTTTCAAGTGTATAGTGCCTGGCAAACATATGAGCAGAGGACCAGGTGTCAGCTCTACAAATGTCTGTCAGAGATATGTTGTTCAAGTACTTTGTAGAAATCACCATTGCTCTTGTGGAACGAGCTGTAGCGGTAGATCCTGCCCCAAGGTACAGTAAGCCAGTCTTATATAGTTCGCGATCCATCTGGACAACCTCTGTTTGGAAATTGGCATGCCCCTGAATCTTTCAGTAGTTGATACTAATAATCTTGGTTATTTGCATATCTGTCTAGTTCTGTCCAAATAAACCATGACAGCTCTGCAGATGTTAAGTGTGTGCAACTGCATGAGGTTTCATAAAGAAGGGTATGTCTACACTACAGCACTAATTCAAACTAATTTAGTTCGAATTAGTTAATTCGAACTAAGCTAATTCGAATTAGCGCATCTAGACTTAAAAACTAGTTTGAATTAGCATTTTGCTAATTCCAACTAGCATGTCCACACTGAGTGGACCCTGAACTGAGGTTAAGGATGGCCGGAAGCAGTGCCGGCAGGGCATCAGATTAGGACTTAGAGTGTGGAGCTGCTGTCTCAGGCTAGTCAAGGGCTGTGCTTAAAGGACCCGACCCTCACCCCGGACAGACAGTACTCCTAAATTCTGCTTGCAAAGCAGTCCTGGCTTGGAGTGCCCTGAGTGCCCACACTCGGCACATCACAGCACTCGGCCATCAGCCCAGCTGCACTTGCCGCAGGCTGCAATCCGGAGGGGGGTCAATCAAGTGGCTTCAGGAGAGCTTCCACCCAGAGAAGCCCACAGAGCCAGCCCAGTCCTCCCCATCGGGGGCTCGTACCCCATTCCTCCCTCACCTCCTTCCACTTACCCCTCCCTAGCCCCCCTTCCTGATGTACAAAATAAAGGACACGTGTGTTCAAAAATAGAAACTCTTTATTGAACAACACTTGGGGAGACTGGGAAAAGGAGGTGGGAGAGGGGAAGAGAGAGGGTGGGAGAGGGGAGGGCAACTACAATATCAGGGGTTTGGAACAGGTCCCATATGAAGAGAGGCTAAAGAGACTAGGACTTCTCAGCTTAGAAAAGAGGAGATGACTATTTGCTTTGTGAAGAAGAACTTTCTGTTATTAGTTTGAAGCCTGCTACCCATTCATTTCATTTGGTGTCCTTTAGTCCTTCTATTATGGGACCTAATGAAGAACTTTTCTTTATGCACCCTCTCCACACCACTCATGCTTTTATAGACCTCTATCATATCCCCCCTGTGGAACTCCTTGCTGCAGGAGGCTGGGAAGGCTAGAACTAGAACAGAGGTTAAAGAGAAGTGAGATAAAGTCATGGAGGTTGGGTCCATGGAGTGGTATTAGCCAGGGGGTAGAAATGGTGTCCCTGGCCTCTGTTTGTGGAAGGCTGGAGATGGATGGCACGAGACAAATGGCTTGGTCATTGTCTTCGGTCCATCCCCTCCAGGGTACCTAGTGTTGGCTGCTGTTGAAAGACAGGCTGCTGGGCTAGATGGACCTTTGGTCTGACCCAGTACGGCCATTCTAAGCTCAGGGCTCAGGGTCGGGGGTCTCACTGG